CCAACTGTTGGAACTCAAGGGGCCCAGCGGCCTGGGAGCGCAAGTCCAGGACTGATGGGAGCTGAGAGGCATAGGCTGGAGGTCGAGGTGTGTCCCCTGGACTCGCCCTGGAAAGGGGCAAAGTCAGAGAGCTTACCCAGCGGCAGACTGGGGGGGCTCGCCTGCAGGTCCCGAGTCGGGGCCCCGTGGCTCGGGGGGCGGGGTCCGCAGTTGCTCATCTTCAGGCTCGGGGGGCTGGAGGTATTAGGCAGCTCGGAGGCCTTGGGCTTGGCTGTCAGGTTCAGGGGCTGGGAGGGTTCCTGGAGGAGGGCAGAAGTCGGAGTGAGACACCCACCCACCCCCAGGATGCCAGGCGGACACGGGTCAAAGGAGGCAGCCAGCATCCAGGCCGGGACACAGCCCAGGCCGGCCTGGTGGGCCGTACCTGCAGAGAGTGGTGGGCGGTCAAGGCCCCAGACCTCTTCACCACCGGAGCCGGGGGGCTGTGCAGCAGCTGCAGCGGGTACTCCACTGTGGGAAAGGTGGCAGAGAGAAAAGTCCCAGGTCAGCACAGAAGAGCAGGAGTCCGCTCGATGAACCTCCCTCTGGGATGGCCCAGCTCGGTTCCAGCCACCACCCACCTCGAGACCTCCCATCTGCTCACCTCACCCCCCCAGCCCTGCCTTCCACCACATAGTCTCCCTGTTGCTAGCAGTCCCCTCTGCAGAGTTGCCGGACATGGAGGCCCAGCCCCAGCAGTGCCAGAAGAGGGCACACCCTCTCCCCTTCAACCATGTCTCCAGTCCGTGCCAACTGCCTGCGGGTAACACTTCTCAGAGCACATCGCAATCCCATTTTACAAATGTAAAAAAAAACAGAGGCGAGCCCTGGTGGTGTAGTGGTTACATGATGGGCTGCTAACTGAAAGGTCAGCAGTTCAAAACCACCAGCTGCTCTGCAGGAAAAAAAACACAGAGGGGCCTGGAGCAATTTAACAGGTTGCTCACACGGCTGATAAATGACAGCATCAGGATTTGAACCCGGGTCCTTGAGCCCCTTGCCTCTACATGGTGCTCTCTCCTCTGCCTACCCTGCCTCACTCAGCCCGACTTCGAGGATGGAGGGTGAGATGGGACTGAGTGCCTATAGGACGGGCAGGGTGCAGACGGGCCACAAGGGGGTGTCAGGGTGTGAGGTCAGA